CAACAACCTTTGTCTCAGCCTTCCATATGAACTAGCCCTCCAGCCTGAATGTACATGACAGAAAAAAAGCATTTATTCATTCTCACAAATGTCTGCTTTGAGGAATAACACATTTTTTTTAATACTAGCATTGATAAAAAGAAATTCAGGCATACAGAAAGGTCTACAGTGAAACCTAGAAGCCCCACACCCTGGAAGCCACCAGTGTTTTTTGGGTCTTATTTGATTTGTTTGACTCACACAGTGTGGGTCAGTGCTCACCGTGAAAGAGGAAATGTTTAGCTGCTGAAGTGCTCCTCACCACACTTCCTGTGTTCCCCCCTCAGGGAGTTTGTTTGTTATAATATAGTCATATTTTCAGGGTGTGTAATCTTCACATTCTGTTGTATAACTTTTTATTTTACGTGCTTTAATAATAAGTTGATGCCGACACTTTAGAGTTTGTAAAGACAGCACTTGCAGTATAACAAGTGAGTGACTATCATTCACTGCAGACCTTGTGCTGGCTCAGACTCAGACCTGGGCGCCTCTGCGGCCGACTCCATGCCGGGCCCTGGGGGCTCCCAAGTGTTAGGGTCTGTGGAGCCTGTAAAAACATTTTGTCTTGTTCTCTTCTGCTTTCTACACATGCCATTGTTTGGTTTCCTTCCTTCTCTTTTTCTTTTATTTAATTTTTGTCTTATAAGTGTTATTTAGTGTTGCTAGAGTACTCCTTAAAGTAAATTTTCCATATCTGGTGTGTAGATGGTAAAATGTTTAGAGTTTTTACATGTCTGAAAATGTCTTCATTTTGTACTTAGGCTCAACTGACAGTTTGGCTGGGTATAAAATTCTACATACAAAATAATTTCCCTTAGAATTTTGAAGGATTGCCTCATTATCTTCTGGTGTCCTCTGGTTTTGATCAGAAATCTTATGACGGTCTGACTCTTTAAAGGTATCTTTTCTGAAAGTTTTTAAGATTTTTGTCTTTACGTTTTGAGTTTGAAATTTATAATGCTGGGTCAAAGTATCATTGCTTTTCATTCACCCTCTGTTTTTATACTGAATGATTAGCTTTACATTCTTAGCTTTAATTGTAATATATTGGGCTTCCTTTAGCTTCACTTTAAAGTTTTTGTGTAAGACTTGAAAATAGCATGTCTGCATACACTGCTGGGTTGGAAGAGGAGGTCCAGATGATGAGGCTGGAGCTGGAGGACAGGCCCCTGCAGGTTTTAGGAGTGTGTCCTTCTTTAAATAGTGGGCCTCAGCTTTGGTTACATGTGAGAAGCACCTGCGGAGTTTTGGGAGCCCTGATACCTGAGTCCTATCCTAAGATCTTCTCAAGTGATTGGTTTGGGTGCAGCCTCTGCACTGGGATTGTGGACACTTGTGGACACTTCCTGAGAGAGGCTGGGGTGAATCCACAGTTGAGAATTAACCTCAGGAGTAGTGTGGCGCCAGCCCCTCTCCCTCATGGGCGGTCCTCAGGGAACCTTGCAGCTCTCCTCATATTTCAGGGGTGGGCAGGGTGAAAGTTTGGGATCCCTCTGGATCCCCTCCTGTAGGGCCAGAGCAGTGTTGGCTCTGTTACTAGTTCTGTTCAGACTGGCATGTGACTTTCCTTTCAGGGTGGACAGGTAGTCAGGGTACAGGGTAGGGTTTGTGTTTCAGCGTGGCAAGGTGTGAGCAGGAGAGGTGTGAGTGGGAGGGACGTCCACTCTTCCCAGATGCTTCTTGCCCTCAAAGCCCCTTCCTGTTTCCTGTCCTGTTTCCTCTCTCTGCTCAGTCTGCCAGTTTTGGTGGTCAGGAGGCTGCCCTGGTCTCATTCCTGACCCTCGTGTGTGTGCCCCTGGCATGACCTCACAGAGCTCTCCTGGTCTTCTGGGGCAGGTGCACTGATCCTTGCTGGACTTGCTGGTTTACTCCAAGTTCACAGAGGGGCCCTGAACCCAAGCTGTCTCCCCCAGAGCTCACAGGGTCCACCCTCGAACAGGGCTAACCTCTCTGAACACTGGCTCTCTGCAAAACAGTGTGCTGCTTCAACGCATAGCCTCCGAATCCCCTTGCCTTCCCCTTCTGCAGCGTCCTGCCAGCACTGTGTTTTTGTCTTTGTGTTTCGGGGCCAAGGAGAGGGTGGATGTTCACAGAGGTGAGTTAAGAAGTTGAGTTCACAGAATGAAACAGATACTTCTCTCCCAGAAAGTGCCCCTGACTCTGCACCACATCCCTCACAAACAGCATCCCATACCCTACTTAGGAGAGCAGGAAAGTGTAAACATTTTAGAAAAAATTTAAAACCACAAATGGTCATTAAAATTGGTCACTTAAAAGAAAGCTTTTTCTCCTGCTATTTTATAAAGTTCATATTGAAAGACCAGTCTTTGGCACTGCCTCTAGGTGGCCCTGCCTTCTGGGGCAGAAGACTGGGCAGGAGGCAGCCAGGTGGGCCCCCCCCCCC